CACACACACGGAGCGGCCGGGATATGTCTCGTTTATTGCTGTCTCAGGATGGAAATTAACACGATCACAGACGGAGCCCGGAGCGGGCTGGGGGGGTCAGGAACGGGGGGGCCCTCGGGGGAGCGGGGGGTCAGGAGCGTCCCCGCGGGTTTGACACAACACACAACACGTTAAAGCTGCCACCGTGGAAGACTGATGTGGAATCGCCCCCGGGCCCCCCGGGGTGGGGGGGACACATGGGACAGCCTCTGTGGGCGGGGGGCAAGCTGGAGTCACTCTGGATTTAACCCCCGGCCGGGGGGGGCGCTGGATGGCAGAGGTTGGACTCTTGGCATATGGGGGGATCTTGCTCCCATCCATCTCCCCTGCCCCCCCCCAGAAAGAAACAGCCCAAGGGCCTGCTGGTGGGCTGCTCGGGGGGCCACAGCCCCCCCCAGAGGCTCATCAGCAATCCCCCCCCCCCTCCCACCCCCGTCGGCCTGAGGTTGGGTTGGTGCATTGATGTAGCACAAACACACACACACACACCCCGGACATGGACACACACCCCCCACGGACACACACACGGACACCCTCCCCCCAACACAGACACCCCCGCCAGCCGGGTCCCCGCGCGACCCCCGGCCTGGCTCGTTAGCGCTTTGTACAGGCCCCACACTTAAGAAAATTAATGTCCCCCCCCCACCCCGATTTATAGATCTGTATATAGCTTCTCTCTATAGAAAATGTGCAAAATATAATCTGCGTTCAAGGGCTCGGGGGGGGGGGCAGGACGCCTGGGTTCGCCGGCTGGGGCGTCTCATGCTGGCTCTGGGGCGTGTGGGGCCAAACGGCTGAATTGAATGGAGGAGCTCCCCTCCCAGAGAACCCAGGTGTCTGGGCCCCCAGCCCCTCTGCTCTCCCCCCCAGCTCCCCCTCCCCACGTCTCCCAGAGCCAGGGAGAGAACCCAGGCGTCCGGGCTGGTTTGCAGGGGTCCTGCCCCCCAGGGAGCGGCTGTATGATTTGAGTGGCACATGTTCTGGGGGGCAGGGGACCCCCCCAGGGGGGCAGAGCTCCAGGTCACATGACGCTCTCCAGGATGACGACTTTGCCCATGTCCTCGGCGCAGGGGCTCAGGCTGGTCAGCGCCCCCCCGTTCCCCTCGGGCACCTTGTACTCCAGGTGGTGCAGCCCCCACACGGGCTGGGTGAGACGCTGCCAGCGCTGGGGGCAGGGAGAGAGACGGGTTAACAGAACCCCGGCGTCCGGGAGCCCAGCCCGCCCCAGAGCCGGGGAGAGACCCCAGGAGTCCTGGCTCCCAGCCCCCCCTGCTCTAACCACCAGCCCCCGCTCCCCTCCCAGAGCCGGGGAGAGACCCCAGGAGTCCTGGCTCCCAGCCCCCCCTGCTCTAACCACCAGCCCCCGCTCCCCTCCCAGAGCCGGGGAGAGAACCCCGGCGTCCGGGCTCCCAGCCCCCTGGTCAGAGCCCCCCCCCTCCCCCCGCGCCGGGCTCACCTCGGCCAGCGGCCCCTGGGCGCGGAGCAGTTTGCTGAGGGCCGTGAGGGGTAGGCAGAGCATGGAGCTGAGCGCGAAGGCCCAGCCCAGGGCCTCGCCCCACCACGGATACACGTACGTGTGGTTGTAGATCAGCGGCTTGTAATAGGCAACGTTGAAGAGGAAAATGCCCTGAGGGAGGTGGGAGAGGAGCCGTTAAAACCCGGGAGCCCAGCCTAGCCCCCACTGGGGAGAGAACCCAGGAGTCCGGGCCCCCAGCCCCGATCCGAGAGCTGGGGAGAGAACCCAGGCATCCGGGTCCCCAGCCCCCCTTCCAGAGCCGGGGAGAGAACCCAGGCGTCCGGGCCTCCAGCCCCCCCCTCCGGCCAGGGAGAGAACCCAGGCGTCCAGGCCCCTAGCCCCCCTCCCAGAGCCGGGGAGAGAACCCAGGCGTCCGGGCTCACACCCCCGCCTCCGGCCAGGGAGAGAACCCAGGTGTCTGGGCTCACACACACCCCCCGGCCAGGGAGAGAACCCAGGCGTCCGGGCTCCATACCAGGCAGATGAGGGGCGTCAGAACCATCCAGCACCATTTCATCCAGGGGCCGGGCCGGTAGCCGATCATACAGGCGATGTCGTCCATGAACCGATCAGCCCCTGGGGGGAGAGGGGGGAGATGACCCCAATACGCCCCTCCCCCCCCCGCAGCGCTGCCTGCTGCACCCCCAGTTCACAGCCACAGGCCCATCAACCCCGGCATCCTGCCCGCCGAGCCCGGCTCAGAGCGAGGGACCATCT